ATCAACAGCGAGAGAGAGTGTAGAGAGAAAGAAGAAAAGGAAGACTTGACCTTTTTTTCTTGTTCCTCGCAACGTCGAGAATCCTGGGCGATGTGCTGCCGCAGGAAGTACCGGGCGTCGTCGCTGGTCAGATCGTCGCTAACCGCTGTCGCTGACCAGGTCTCCGTCGGCGACGTTGACTCTCCTAGCAGATGGGCTGGCTGCAGTTGCTGGCAAAGCCGTTACCGGTAGGGTTGATCTTCCTTCCTTCCGGCTATCCCAAACTGCTCTCTCTGCTGGGCTCGGACTTCCGCACTCTCGTAGGACTAGGCTTAGACTCCCTCACTCTCGTAAGGCTCAGCTGCGACTCTTCTTACGCACTAATTCTTGCGCGCATCTTGCAGTCGCTCAGCGGCGCTCGCTCCTCTCCCTACCTTGACCTATTAGTTAGGCGGCACGCGACGCGTCGCTTATCGGTCACGCGTTGCGCGCCTGCCAATCCCGGCATAGGCCTAATACTCTCTCTCTCTCTCTCTCACTCTCTCTCCGCGCTCTTCAACTTTTCAATACTCTAGACAAAAATCAAAAACCAAATTTACGTAGCCCGCGGAAATTCAAAATTCGCTATGCTTTTTGATCAGAGCTCGTAGTTATTAACAAATGCTACGTAACTTTTGAACTACAGTAAATATTTTAACTTACGATAGGTCATTACAAAGTTTATTAACTTAGCTTTGAAATGAGTCATCGCCCATTGAAAAATTTGCTGTTGATAAATAGTTATGCTTGCATTTATAGCAGTATTATAAAGTAGTCTTATTTCATTACTTTTTCAAATTAGATCTGCTGTTATTGCTACGAAAAAACAAACGATTCAGATTTCAGTAATGATGGATATACATACTGTGCATGTCTATGGAACACCACAACCTTATTTTGTTGTCATTTTTCTAAAATCTACCGACGCTTCAAGAACACCATGTCAATCGTGACCTTAAATTTAATGTTGGGCTTGTGACGAGAGTAGGCCGTGCGCTGCTTTCTCGTCTGCATTTCTCCCTCCTTCTCCACTCGGCAACGCGTGGTGGCCAACCTTGGGCGCATTAAAGTATGCGCCTAACACTCGGCCTTTTTGTTTCAGCGTCAAGGACGGGCCAGCGTAGCTGAGCGCAAGAAAAAGTTGAGGAGCGCGGAGAGAGTGAGAAATAGAGAGAGAGAGAGAGTGAGCATTAGGCCTATGCAGAGTTAGACAGGCGCGCGACGCGTGACCAATAAGCGGCGCGTCGCGTGTCACCTAATAGGTCAAGAAGGGATGGGAGCGAGTGCTGCTAAGCGTCCGCGAGACGGTCAGCGCAAGAAAAAATGCGTGTGTCAGTCAGTGCAGTTTTGGGCAGATAGTAGGAGAACGAGTAGAAGGAGCCCAAGGTCGCAGTCCTTAACAAGAGGAAGAATTGAATCTCACCATAGCAAGAGTTGTCGTCGCCTGCAGCAACGAGAGTTGAACCTCGCCAGTGACAAGAGTTATCTTCGCCTGCAACAACGGTATTTTTCTGTGTAGTTTGATGTAGCAGTCCATCGCCATACGGCCAGAGTGAACATTATGTCAATGTTACTGAATAAATACGAGTTACTACGAAATCGTGAAAATATTTTTTCTAGATGACTTTTGTATAGCTGTTTATAGTGTTGAGTACTTGTAGATGTAAAGTAATTAATACTAGTGACTGGTCTAATATTAAGTCTAGATATTTCAAAATATTTTTTGTTCATACTGTAGAAAACGCAAAGCGAGTTGTTTCAAGAGAAAGTATTCTCGCAAAGCAACATAAGTAAAGCACCTGCTCTCAATAAAGATCTTCATCGTCATTATTATCGAGATGCCATAAACACAGGTCGGCGCCGGAACACGTGGCGGCTACCATCAGACCTCGCGGGAAAATAATTTTCAAGTATTGCAGGTCACAGACAGAAAGGGAAATCTGCAAGGAAGGCTTTGTTCCCAAGGCTGGCAAGCGAGAAAACAGACAAGGAGAAGGAGAGAATGAATGAGAAGGAAAACACCTAAGAGTATACGCCTGGTCTAATGACCAAAGGATACAAGAAGCGAGCATCGTTAGTCGGTAGATAGTTAGCAGTTATCAGTTATTAGTTTAGCTAGACTAATTCAGCTCATCGTGCTTCGCGATTCTTATTTTTTTTTTAAAACCACGATCTTAAGCAACGTCATAATAACATTGGGTTCGGCTTTTTCCCATACGTAGGGTTTTTAATGCCTGTTTTAGTATAAGTGTCTGTGTTGTGCTAAATAAAAGTTTATCAAAAGAATATAAATAAACCACACTTATTTCCTGTTCAATCTTACCTCTTTAACATATACCTGTTACGATTACACCATTAAATCACCAAAAATCTCCCATCACAACATAATAAAAACGAACAAACAAAATTGTAACATTTATTTAACCGTATTATTTATTTATATTCATTGCAACCGATCGTATTGATATATAACGATCTCAACATCGACGTGCTACGTCTTGAGAGGAAACTCAACGTAAATTTAGTAGACCGAAAAATCACGTCGCTTGGCGACACCTCGATTTTTCGACCGTTGATTCGCGATATGCGATATCTTCACAGCCACTTTTCGAGTTAGTACACCGACTTATCTTTTTAATTTAATCGCTATCACTTTTAATTATCATTTATATTGAATTTACATTTGTATGAAATTATATTAGAACTGTATTTATGTAGAACTTTTATTGATTTGTTTTTTGCTTAACATTTCAAGAAGTATATGAATTATATTCGAATATTGCCGTACATTTATTTGTCAACTTCGTCATATTTATTGAAAACCCAAGCAGTATTGTATGTGAGTGAGCAGAGCAGTGCAGTGTAGTTGCCAAGCAGTGAATTCACGAGAGTCAATTAACTAGGTAAGGTATGTTATAAAATCATTCATGAATAATCGAAGGATAATTATATACTTAGTGTGAGAAAATACTATTTGTTTAATAACTAGAATACAAGTCTTAATTAAAAAGGCTTAGATTTAGTAGTATATCACTGCTAACACAGTTAAAATTATTATATGACCTCGTTTGGATATTTTCAGACAACACCGTTGTCATCGTACTCCATGTTAATTCCTTTCATGTCGTTCTTTTCAAGTAGTCGTAGTATATGATAAGTGATTTCGTTGTTTTGGAAAACGCTTTCGATACAACTTCGCTGCTGCACGGTGATATTCACGGAACATCAGCAAAATATCAACTATTTCGTTACAAGTACACTGCCGTCCATATGTATTTATTTTCGCACCCAGAAAAACATTATATAAAATTAAAAGTTTTGTTACTAAGGAAGTATTTATCCTATAGAAGCCTCTGGGAGCACATTTCGTAGGTTCTAGCGAGTACTTTGAGGTGCATTTTCTTTCGAATCGATTAATAATTTTTTTTCATGTTTTATCTGAGTGGGCAAATGAATATGGAGAGCAGTGTATAATCTGTAATTTTTAGACAAACATAACTGAATTAATTCAATAAATTTTTAGCTCTTTAGGCTCGAACACTTCACCATTATTGATCATTACAACTTACTTAATTTCTCCATATTAATTAGCGCAACGACATTTAATTTGACTTAAAGATATTAGATTCGTGCGGACTTTATATAACAAACTGAAAAACATGGAGATTGACTTTAAAATGATCTTGAGTAGGTGTCTGGATCTTGATGTATATTCCTTACTCTTCTAAAATTAGATTTTCCCGCTTTCCAAACAAAGAAAAAGAAAGTTGATCATGAAATGGTCTCAAAAATTAAATTAATATCAAGGTTTAAATCATTGTTAGTTGATCCTCTCTGAACCAGATAAATTTAATCTGAAACATTTTCTGCACAAGTTGATCTGATAGTGAGTGCAGAAATCTAGGTACATCATTTAAAATGGATTACTTTGTAAACAGGTACTTCATTTAAAATGGATTACTTTGTAAAGTAGGTAGTGAATGTGGGATGAGCCAAGTGATGCACCAGTCAACGAAAGTTTAAGAAAAAGTAAGGAAATTCTTAAATCGTAGATTCTACTACAGGTGAATAGAAATTGAAGCGAATATTGAGTGATACCTCATATCTCCGATGACTAGTTCCGATTTTTTTAAGGGATAACTTGAAAAGTGTATGTTATAAATAAGCGATCATAACAAAAGCATATGTGATCCAACGTATGCATTATTTATAATGGAGGGATTTTTGAGCTTTTAATTAGATAAACATAATCTTTTGCTTTGTAATTAAAGTGATATTACTTACTTTCTATAATTGTACTTAGCAAACTATGTGGTTTAATATTTGTGATTTTCTTTAAAAATACATGTCCAAATGCTTTATATTTTGATTAAGAGATCAAAATTTATCATTTGTGAGTTCATACCGATAAAATCTTTATTCACTAGTGATAGAAAGTTACATTGAAAATATTTCTTTTTGATTGCATATTTATTAATTTACCTTCGAGTGACCTTATTTTACATAAGATAAACTTAAATTTCTCAGGCTTCTAAAATCTGTAGTCGAAAATAGAGGTTCCCATTAAAAGAAAACAAAGTCGACCTTGAAATAATCTTGAATATGATCTTCAAGATTATAAGCAAAGTCACCCCAATATGGCCCCCATGAAATCAAGCAACTTGTATTCGAAACATTTTTTACGAAAATTCACCTGGACAGAAGAGCCTGAGTGCATCTTTTAAAATAGCCCACCCTGTATAGTGTTTTAGAAGTCTAGATTCGAAAATAAAGAAATTAGGATATTTCTCAGAAAATCACCTTAATGCTATTTATGCTTTATAAAAAAACATTTAATAAATAATATTTTTTACATTAAAAATATTTAAACGTAAGAATATGTTATAAAAGATATTGCTTCGTTTATCGTTGTTGCTCTTTGCAAATAACAAAAAAACATTAAATGTTACCATTGGTTGATCTATCTCTATTATTCTAGATGCCATCTTATATCATGGTGAAACATGGGAGTTGATGGGGCGCAGATGGGGAAAAATAGAAAAAGATTTTTACACAAAGCAAAAGAGATTTGATATTTCTAAAATCCCAGATATATATGACTGCATTAAATATGATTTACAGCATAACAACCACACTTTACAGTTTGAGCATGCAGAAGAACTTTATATATATTCAAAATATTTAGCTGACATTGTTATACCTCAGGTAATAAATTCAATTTGTCTTTGTATGTATGTGTATGTGTATGTGTGAGCTTCTGTGCAACATGTAAAGTAATATATATTGTATGTTATCGTATTTTATTGTTGTTATAATAATAAATATCTTATATTATAGAAATTTATGTTTTCCTAGTCCTTCTTCTGCTATATAAAGATTAGGAATGAATAAACGTATTAACAGAATCGTTAATATAAATTATAACGGAAATTTGACTGAAACTACGATTTTCACCGTTAATATAAATAAGAGGTACTATCGAAAGCTGGGCGAGGATAAGTGTTTCGCTGGTCTGTCTATTGGAGATCAATGATCTCGTTTCGTTGCAGATAGCAATATACCGCCTGACCTGGCAACACAGCTATATCGCTGACGACACCTTTGCTTTCTAGATTTGTAGAGAGCGTCGTAGAACTTGTCGTAGAACTAGAAGTGATCATAATAAGATACACTAGTAAACGAGTGAGAAAAACACGCTTAAGTTGGGTTGGGTTTAATTACAAGCCACAAGTTAATTGAGCAAGTTTTACTGCGGAATCGAAAGCTCAAGCATAGAGATACCATGCAAGAGAAAAAGTGCACAGAGAAAGAGAGAGAGAGAGAGAGAGAAAAGGATCGAAACGTCGCTGATGCTCATAAGTTCATTGTTGTGAATCGGCGATGTAAAAAATGTGTGTTGGGAATAACTACTTCTATGTCCTGATGTCAATAGGAGAATAATTGTACTACGTACATATATACTTAGCGCATGCAGAACGTTGTTCCAGAAGTCTGCAATGAGTTATTCTTGCGGAGTCAGTAGCAGTAAACAGAAGAGACAAAGACAACAGTGGAAGACAGATACTAGCGAAAGTGTACTGGCGTGACATTTTTATCTCTCACTGCAAGAGTGAGGTAAAAAGACAACAACAAAAATTCAAAAGGAAATAACATAGATATGCTTTGAGAAGCAGCCCTCTACCCTACAGAAAGTGTGCGCTGTAGCTCGATGGTTATTCAAAAAAATAGCTTGCTTCCGTCACAAGCGGTCGACGTATTCGCGCACTCTTCCAGACTTATAGTTGATTAACGAGCTCCGCGATTTTGCTAATGACATATGTTAACTGGAGGCCAGTTGGAGGCCAGGCATGAGGACGATGAACTGCTTCATGACGGCAATGGGCATCCTAATGGCTACCACTAAATCTGGTTTACCAGACATCTCCATACAAACAGAGTCAAGATATATTTAAGGAGAGATTTAAAAAATTATTATTATGAAAAGCAAAAGCGATTAGTGAAGTCATGTTTGAAAAAGTAGAATTAAAGTTAAAGTAGAGGCGGAGTTAATGTTGAAGTAGAGTTAAAGTTAGTAATATTTTAGTTTCTAATTGTCGGGTATCTCTTGTTCGTATACTATATGAAATGAGCTCCACAGGAATAGACAGGCTTTTCTAGAACCTTGATCTCTCTTTCATGCTCTATGAATCGAAAGTACCAGCCTCTCATTCCCAGAAACTATCTAAACTGCTTAATGTTTCGTGGCACACGATAATCTAGTACCAACTTTTCTCCTTCAGGGTCCGGGAGCAGTCCTTTAGCATTGAAACGGTAGCCCAGGAAGTTCACGTTAAAATAACCGTATTCATACTCGCCTCATTGATCTCCAGGGCTGCGTCTGATATCTGTGCTAACATTATCTTTAACCATACCAGATGCCTTTTAAAGATCGTTCTTTCCACGGTCACGTCATTCAGATATATAGATATGTAAGGCTCGAAACTCAAATCGAATAACTCATTCATGAGCTTTATAAAAGTCGCCGACGCATTGACTGTTCGACATTCCGAAGATTATGTAGTTGCAAACATGTTCTGTGTTTCCCTGTTCCGACAGGGGCCCCTGTAGACACACGCTTTTCAAGTCGTTCTTTGATATAAAGCGCATGGCCGCCTGGTGGTCATTCGTAGAACCCGTGGGTAGTAACAGTGACGTTACAAATTGTCACAGTGTTGTTATCCGTCCTAGAACGGTGTGTGAGATTTTGCAACGAAGTTGAAAAACTAGCACTATTGCGTTTTGTTAATGCTCTCTCCAAACCATCGATCGAAAAGCTAAACACAACTACTTTATTCATGGTTTTTATGATAAAATAGAAATTTTGATAATCATTTTGAAGCAGTGCAATTTTTATTGTTATCTGTAAAATTTTCTGATATTATCAACATACACACTTTAGGAAAACATTGCCCACTACCAACCATTATTTTTACAACATATTTTCCGATGATATTTCTTCTGTGTCAACCTATACAAAACTTCTTTTTTCTTTTGTGTTATCTTTTTCAACATTAAATTTAAAACTAAGGAATTTGTATAAATTATTTGAAAATGTAGCTTTTTCAATCATATGCTCACGGTAATTTATAGCCAGTTTTTTTCCTGCAGTACAACGTATGAAATTTGTGACGTTTCTCATTCATCTCGATCATAAAATGCTTGTACTTTCAAGTATATTTAATTATCTAACTGTCCCTCGGAAAAAAAAACATTTTATTCCTCCACTATTTAGAACGACATTTTTCACGTCATTAGTATTTAAGTACTTTAAGTACAAAATTGCTCATTTTGTAGTCGTTATAATTTGATAGTCGTGCTTCTAGTGTCGATCTTGAAAATTGCGGTGCTCTCATTAAGTTTTAAATTGTACAGTTAACATTACAATATTGAAATTATAAGAACCATCATAGTATTATATACAATACTGTATTATAAACGGAAACATTATAATTGTTTACATATATATACGTTGAATTTGTATAAAAGAATAAAAAAAATTATTTCGTGAAAAAAATAGAAACTTGAAAAAAATAGAAAAAATAAAAAATGAATATTCTTGCTCTGGTGGTTTTCATTCGAGTAAATTTTTATAATTTTTGTAACAAATAAAACCCCTTTTTTATTTTTTATTATAAATTTTGTCCCCATCGCTGAGACGCTAATAATACGCTTTTTGACGGTGCAAGGCTGTTTTTCAACCGCAGCAGGCCATACGGCGAACTCTTACTTGTCAGCCCTTCATAGCTCATCAAAGTACTGCGTGACACGGTGACTCCTGAGTCTCTGCTGAGTAGTGGTACCCGTCACAACAAAATGCTTGCAGGCACCAAATGGTACGTCGAGTAACTAGGGTTTCCCAGCTCCGTATGCCGATTTTCATTTCAGTTTTCTATTGAAAATGTGGTCTCAAGGTCCTCAGTGCACAGTTTATTTCTAAACTGAATTCTTCTTACCACTGTTTTGCTTTACACATACCTTCACCATAACCTTGTCGTCGGCATTTTTATCAACCCGGTACCATTTTCACGCTATGATCTGCTGCTTCTAGATCTTCGAGCCTAACCCGAAGCTTGTCTCAATATTTCGTATCTACTGGTGCTGTTGGCTGGCACTTGAGCAGCATTGGCCTTGGCTTGGGCACTGCACCCTCTGGTAACTGTGCTTCCCGCAGTTAGGACATATCCCATCGAAACCATTTGCTCATTTCCAGAACTATTCGTACCGGGACTTGAACAGACGGTACCTTACGCGTTAGCAAATCGATCGCTAACGACTTTGATAACTTTTAAAAGCTCGAGATCGATGCATTCGGTACCTTGCAATAACGCTAGCCAACACATGCTCTCAGCCCTGATACAAATCCGTGACTTCTGCGCCCACTCGCCATTGCTCAACAGCCCTAATCCCTTCTCATGCTTCTTTATCTTTTTCAGTCCCTCGGCTTCGACCTCCGTTTTCGTAATTACCGCCACCACTGACTTCATTTTCACTTCCTTCTCAGCGTAAGCTACATCTGGATCCAACGGATGGTTAGCGCCATTTCTTTTCGTGTTTGCGCCGCTTCTCCAACTTTTCATCGAAGTATCGTACATCGCTCAGGACTTTAATCTGCTAATTTTCGAAATACTGTCCAAATTTAGGATATAGACCATTGAGTAGCAATCCTTACTGCTTGGAGATAGAAGGACGGGATTTTATGTGACGCACGATGTACTGGAACGCGTTGAGGTATACCTCAATGGGCTGATTCTTCCCCTGGTGTCGGCGCTGAATCTCATCGCACAAATCATCGCGATCGATCTCACGACAAAAAAATTTACAGAAAACGATCTCTAATTCTTTGATCGACACCCGACCCTGCTCATTGTTCTTAAGTCATATGTCTACCCTACTGGCGGTTACCGTACCCAAGACCGATAGTACCTGGTTATGTGTGTGCACCGTTTCAGTTTTGGAAAGATTTTCTCGGCCTTGAGTCTAGCGCCCACCGAATATTTCTTGCTTTAAAGGCTAAAAAATTGTCCACCCATTTCCCCTGAATAAACGTGCATCTTCACGACGTCGCGTAGCTTCTACGTGAGTCGATGCGCTGCGCGACTTGAATCTGTGTGATATCCGCGGACGGTTTGCTTCTCCTTTGGACGTCGAACCAGATGACGTTGACTCACTGCTATCATCGATTATCCTTCACGTCGAAATTAAATTAGAATTTTGAAATTTAATAAAATAGGCATGATACTTTCTAAAAACTAAGGAAATTTGCTTCTCTATTATAAAACGATAAAAATCTTCACTTTTTATCATCACGAGTTTTATCTTTTAAGTTTTATGGGTATAAAGAAATATTTTATTTACTTACAAAAGCAGGATTATCCGTAAAAAGAATCCATAAAATTCTTGAAATTCTTATTTTCCGAATTATCGTTTATATAAATATTTTCACTCGAAAAATATGTAAAACATTTTTGTCAAATAGTAAACAAAGATTTTTTTTCTACTTTTAGATCTGATGTAAATTTTATTCCTGAATTTATTTATCTTCTCGAACCAATAATTTTCCTTTTTAAGCTTTCAGGCCAACTAATATTGATATTTTTATATTGGAATATCTTCTATTACAAGACTTTGAAAATTGGACATAAGCTGCTATTTATCGAAGAAAGTTA